TGCATAGCAATTAACTCGCCAAAAAAACAAATTTAAAACAAAATTTAGACTTTTATCGCATGTTGGAAATTTTAAAATAAAATGTTATTGGATGGTAGAGAAGCAGATTGGCATTCACAGGTGTCCCAAAAGCAGCCTGAGAGGCAACTGGACATTTTTTTGCTGCAGATATTTGCATGCATCAAGCAGCATAACGGAGCACATGAATGATGAAAAGCCATCACGTACGTGTAAACACCGACATCATAATGCTATAAACCGCATAAAACTTTAAATGCAAATTGAATCACTAGCCTTAATTGCTTTTTTTGAAATGCACTTCAAAAAAAATTTCGAAATTCGCTAAAATAGAAAAAAATTAAATTACTTTCGCTAACTAGGATTTCGTATTTGGGCTTAGTTTCAAAACTGCAACTGTTTATAATGTTTTTAAATTCTGCCTCAACTTCAATCAAACATTTCAACAGGTCTTCAAACGTTTTGCAAATTAAATTTCGCTTCTCCACGCCAACATTTTTGAACGTTCCAATGACACAAATATTTTTCTTGACGCATTGACATACACTTCAGCACTTTTTTAACTTCATGTCTGGACACTGAATCAGTTTGAAACGTTTTGAATTGTTAATATTTAAAGTAATGTTTTGGATATAATAACAATGTGCAATCATAAACTGATGAGTAACTACAGACAAAAACTATTTCAACTATTTTGCCACACATTTGACCTATGGAAAGACATACGCGTAATTTTAATAATTTACAAATTAACAAATAATTTTTTAAATTTACAAAACTAAAAAATTGAAGGAAGAAAATTCGTCAGAGTCTTTGGCAAGTGCAACGTCAACATTATCTCCAACGTCAGCGTCATCGTCGCTAACATCAATAACGTCAACAGCAACCGCATCGAAAACGGCAGCGGGAATTAGCTTTGTTGTAGTACCGGACGAAAGTGAATTGTCCCAAAATGCTTCTAAAACTTCTAAATCAAGCCCACTTACATCAGCCACACTTACGCCAGCCACAACAACCACACAAGCCACAACAGCCGCCACAGCAGCCATAACATCCATCACACCAAAACCATCATCAAAATCATCAACCTGCAAACCACCAACCACAAATCCAACAGTAACAACGTCACAAAAAACAGCAGCGCTGACATCAACTTCGGAGCGAGCAGAAATTTTTTCATCTTGTCCTTTAACTAGGACTTCACGAAAATTTTCAATGTCGATGCTGATGACGTCATCAATAAAAACGTCATCAAATGCAACTTCACACAACCTATCGTTCCCAACAATTACAACAACTCGGCCTAATTCGTCGATTACAATGAATAACTCATCAACAGAGAACGAAAGCCCATTGCTTCGATTATCTTCTTCTACCACCACAAAACTTCCTAACGAACGCAGAAGATTGTCCCAGCAGATTATAGAGCACATCCACCAACATCTTCAGTTGCAGCACCAATCGCAGCAACAACACAAATACTGTTCACCACATCAATTTCCAATTTCTTTGATTCAGCAGCTGCCTCAGCAACCGCATCAGCAACCAAATCGTTCGACCACAAAAAACGTGCACCTGAGACTCATGACCAACCTGCTTCTGCCTCTTCCTTCTCCGGAAAGTAATCATCATCACCACCATCATCGACATCATCGTCGTCGTCGTTCAAAATGTCTTCAAAATGTCAAAGGACAACAACAACAATCACCACACCAACAACAACAACAGTCACAACACCAACAACAGCAACAACAACCACAACACCAGTCAGACATCGGGCAAGAGGACATGAAGAAACCTTGCAGACAACAATTATTCGCGCCAGTAACTCAGACGCGACATTATTCATCGCCCGTCATAATCAACTCTCTCATTCAACACAACAACTGCAACATTGTTGACAACAATTCTTGCAACTTCAACAACATTAACAGTTTTTTATATTACCTACACGGTAACAAACCCTACAATAATGATTATACCGACAAAAATTTTGATACTTTCAGCATAAGAAGTGCAAATAGTAGCTACAGTAGCAGCAGTAGCAGCAGTAGTAGCAGCAGGAAGAGTTGCAGCAGCAGTTGTAGTAGTGGTGAAAGTAGTAAAAAAAGCGTTGAGTGCGTACATAACAATGATCACAGATATTTTAAAAACATCTCAAATAAGAAAGAGCGAGCAAAGAAAAAATCGAAAAAATATGATAAGAATGTGAAAGTTGAAATGATGAAAAACCGGCATTCAAGTTTTCAAAACATTCTGTCCGTTTTGAAAGTAAAAAAATTATCACTGCCAACAACTTCCGCAACAAAAATAACTTCAACAATGTCGTCGCAACAAATTTTTCACAAAAATGTTGAAGAACTTTCGATTCAGAATCAAACAACGAAAAAAAATTCAGTAGAACATGAAGAAGAACAATCCCAGACACGTTCTAGATCTTTCTCTCACGAGATTAAAACTATACCCACTTCATTAAATAAGTCGGAGCGACGCAGAAGCGAGATGGTTATTCCGAAAAACTGCATTCTGAACACCATAAAACACACGTACAGTAATTTCAACGAGAACCTTTTTGACGCATTTTCGCACAATAATTCGAAAAATGATTTTAACATGAAAAGCGAGTTTTACCAAAAGAATAACGTATTAAAGATGTCTTCCAAAACAACAGCTCCTGCATCGGCTTCAACAACTAACAATGCCTTATCCAAGTTCTCCAAAAAGTCTTCATCCACATTTCTGACGAAGCCTCGATCAACCATCCCGATCCTGATCGT